CTCGGCCGTACTTCGTTCCGCTCCTGCAGCAGGTTCTTGGTCTTTCTCCTCCAGTAGAGGGTCCACCGCCTGTCCAGTCGCAGTCCCTGCTGGAGCCTTCCTCTCCACTGCCTGCTCCCTCTCCTTACACTGGTCCTACTGGAGGTCTTGCTGAGCGTCGTGAGCCTGCGTCTCGTCCCGCGTCGCCTGTTCGTGCTGCTCGCGCTAGTGGTCGCAGTTCGCGTCAGCGTCCTCCTCCTGTCCCTCGCACGCACCGGATGTCTTTGCGTCCGTCCACTGCTCCTCTGCGTGCCCCTTTGCCTTCTCCTCCTGAGTCCTCTCTTCCTGCGCTTGCCGACCCTCAGTCGGACTCTCTTCGTGCTACCAGTCCTACTGTCACGCGTCTGCTTGCTACTGTCGTCACTGACCCCTCTTTTGAGTCCACTGCTGCGTCTGCTCTAGTCGCTGAGCTCGTCGACTTTGCTGCTCGCTGTCGTCTCGACTACGCTGCTAGTCTTGTTGCTGAGTCTGCGTCTGTCTGTCCTCCGTCCGTCGGGGGTGAGTGTGCTCTTGGCACGGACGTCCTAGAGGACAGGCAGGAGGAGTTACAGTGTCTAGCGGCTGCTTCACCTCATCTCGCGTCTGTACTGCTTGCCCCTGAGGGAGACCCGGATGCACTAGACATCCCGACTCCGCGTTCTTACGCGGAGGCCGTAGAGGGTCCCTACTCCTCTCAGTGGCAGGCAGCTATGGATGCAGAGATGGCTTCCTGGAAGTCCACAGGCACCTACGTTGACGCGGTTCCCCCTCCTGGGGCGAACATCGTCAGTGGCATGTGGATCTTCAGGGTGAAGCGGCCGCCGGGCTCTCCACCTGTCTTCAAGGCACGGTACGTTGCTCGTGGCTTCAGTCAGCGGCAGGGAGTTGACTACTTTCAGACCTTCTCTCCCACCCCGAAGATGACTACTCTTCGGGTGCTGCTGCACATAGCCGCTCAGCGCGACTACGAGCTTCACTCTCTCGACTTCAGCACTGCGTTCTTGCAGGGTAGCCTGCACGAGGAGATCTGGCTTCGCCGTCCACCTGGCTTCACTGGGACTTTCCCTCCTGGCACCCAGTGGAGCCTCCAAAGGCCAGTCTACGGTCTCCGCCAGGCACCGCGTGAGTGGCACGACACACTGAGGACTACGCTTGCGGCTCTTGGGTTTACTCCTTGTACTGCTGACCCGTCGCTATTTCTTCGCACCGACACTTCCCTGCCGCCGTTCTACATCCTCGTGTACGTCGACGACTTGGTCTTTGCCACAGCGGACACTGCTGGACTCGCCTACGTGAAGTCCGAGCTGCTGAAGAGACACACGTGCACAGACCTGGGTGAACTGCGCAGCTACCTTGGCTTGCAGATCACTCGGGACAGAGCACGCCGCACCATTACCTTGACTCAGTCACACATGGTGCAGCAGGTCCTTCAGCGCTTCGGCTTCACGTACTCCTCGCCTCAGGCTACTCCTCTGCCTACTCGCCACTTACTCTCAGCTCTGCCTTCGGATGAGTCCGTAGAGTCGAGTGGTCCGTATGCAGAGCTTGTTGGCTGCCTCATGTACCTGATGACCTGCACACGACCTGACCTTGCATACCCTCTGAGCATTCTTGCACGCTATGTTGCTCCTGGGAGACACAGACCAGAGCACATGGCTGCAGCGAAGAGGGTATTGCGCTACCTGTGCAGTACGTCGGGCATGGGGCTAGTGCTTGGAGGGCGGAATCCAGTGGTCCTTACCGGCCACGCGGACGCTTCTTGGGCTGACGACCAGGCTACGCAGCGGTCGTCACAGGGTTACACCTTCAGCCTTGGTTCCGGCTCTGTCTTGTGGCGGTCTACTCGCTCGTCTTCGGTTCTCGGCTCCAGTTGTGAGGCTGAGATCTACGCCGGGGCCATGGCTGCACAGGAGCTTCGCTGGCTCACCTACCTGCTGACTGACCTTGGAGAGCCGCCTCGTTCTCCTCCAGTGCTGTACGTAGACAACAAGGCCATGCTGGCCTTGTGTCGAGAGCAGCGCTTGGAGCACAGAACGAAGCACATTGCTCTCCGCTACTTCCTTGCTCGTGAGCTGCAGCAGCGTGGTCAGTTGCGACTTGCGTACGTGGCCTCTGAGGCCAACACTGCTGATGTGTTCACCAAGGCACTCGCGCCTTGTGACCATCAGCGCTTTTGCACCCAGCTGGGTCTTGTGCCTGTCTTGCCTCACTTGCTCTCCTCTTGACTTCACTTGTACTGTGACATATATATATACCTGCTCTTGCTTGTCTAGTTTTATATATATGTCTGTACTCCTGCATGTGAACTGGCCTCTGGCCCTGCTCTTGTGCTCGGACTGTGTGGTGACTTTGTGATCCACCCTGAGCTTGCTTTGCTTTGCTTGACTGGTCTTGTGACCCCTTGTTCTCCCCCACTTTGCCTATGGGGGTGTGTCAAACATTATATATGTTATGCTTGTGTAGGCTACAGTGGGTTAGCCTATAGGGGGTACACAATTCTAGGGTTTCCTACTTGTACTCATTTCACTGCTAGTTCATTCATTCCTGTTCGCTTATTCTCACAGAACCACCAGAGCCACCACAGCCTCCACCGCCTCCTGCGCCGCCTGCTCCTCCTGCTCCTCCTTTGCCGCCTGCGCCTCCTGCTCCTCCTGTTCCTCCGTCTCCTCCGATTCTGGGATGTCCTCACAACAAAGGGGATCCGCCTGTGCTCACGCTCCTGCTCCCGACTGCGTTCGACGAGTGGCTGGAGGAACCGGAAAGCAACAAGGCCCAAGATGTTGAGGTACCCGGCGCACCTTACCCTGGACCACGTTGGGGCCGGCCCGATGATTGCACCACGTGATTTGGCAGGTGTGCGAAGAGCTCTGTGCTCGTGTTGGATTCCTACCGCGGCCACCTTACCGAGGGGGTGAAGGAGAAGCTCCGCGAGATCAACTGCGTGCCTGCTGTCATCCCGTCGGGTTGTACGGGTGAGGTTCAGCCACTCGACGTCTCCATCAACAAGAGCTTCAAAGCATCTGTTCGTCAGCAGTACCAGAAGTGGTTTCAGGAGGAGGGCCAAGAGCAACTGACACCTGCAGGTACGTTGTTTCCGTTAAACACGCATGTTTATCCCCCTTTCACCCTTGGTCACTAACATGGCTTTCCCGGGTGTCTCTGTTGCGGTGCAGGGAATCTGAAGAAGCCCCCCCCAGAAGTGGTCCTTCGATGGATTTCACAAGCCTGGAAAGCAGTACCCTCCGACCTCGTCAAGCGCGCCTTCCTCACCTGCGGCATTAGCAACGCACTTGACGGCAGTGAGGACCACCTCGCCATGGCGCACAGGCGGAGCCAACTGACGGCGGAAGTGGATGTAGACGACGGCATCATCGCCGACGGATTTTTCGGCAACAACTGCCAGGAGCCCGAGTCTGACGAGGAGTAGGTAGTTCCGGTAGAATAGCAGATTAAGTCTAAAATTGTGTACCTAGGTAGAATACCGTAGCAGATTAAGTCTAAAATTGTGTATAACTTGTAGTATTCGTTGAAGCGAACGATGTTATAGTTGTTGTTTTCTTTTGTTGTGGTGGTAAAAAAAGTGTGGGTACAAAAGGGGTGGCGCTTATAATCGAGGATCGGCCATAAGCGCCATGCTCCAGATAGAAGCGCCGGCGCCTGTAATAGGCCGGCGCCTATATCTGGGGCCATACGGTATATGGCTCCTCATACGTATGTGTGTCAAACTAAATATATGCTTAATAAGTGGGTGTAGGCTGTAATGGGGTAGCCAATGTGGGGTATAACCCCTTAGGTTTATACTTCTATCAAAACTCTCTCGATAGTCAATCAACCTTTCTACTTTTCTCAACATGGTATTAAGAGCCTTAGGTCCTTAGGACCGTTTATTTTAGGGCCCACCTACCGCTTCCGGTTACCGCGCTACCCCGCGCCCTGCCCTGCCCTGACCTGCGTAGCGCAGCCCGGCGCACACCCTGCCCTGCCCTCTGCTGCGCCACTAGCAGCCCGCGCGTCGCCCCTGCGTGGCCCGCGCGCAGCTCCTACTGGCCCACGCGCCGCCCGCTAGCAGCCGGCGCGACCCACCCGCTGTGCCCACATCCCGCGCGCAGCTCCTGCCGGCTCGCGCGCCGCTCGCTAGCAGCCTGCGTGCCCTGCGCGCTGCCTTGCCGGCCGCCTGCTACACCCTACGCGTCGTCAGTCGCGCTGCCCCGCAGCCCTGTGCGCCGCCCGCCCTGCTGCCCTGCCGGCCCCTTGCAGCCCCGTGCGCCGCCTGCCCTGCTGCCGCGGCTGCCTGCTGCGCCCTGCTCTAAGCGCCCTGCCTGCACTGCCCTGTGCCCTGCCCACCCTGCCAGCGCTGCAGCCGCTGCTACGCTGCTGCTGCTGCCAGCGCCGCACTGCCCCACCGAGCCCGAGCCGCGCCGCACCACCTGAGCCGCGCCGCCTTACTGAGCCGCGCCATGCTGCCTAGGGGCCTGGCATTAGTTTTCTAGCAATCGCTTTGCCTTGCCAGTCCCACGCCAGCAGATATGTCCACCCTCCGCGTTCTGTCGTTCGATGCTGAGGGCCGCCCAATTCAGTTTGAGACCTGGCTCGATGACCTGCAGCTGTTCTTAATGAGCGATAGCAAGGATGACCACACGTCTGGTGCCTCAGTTGATCCTGCTCCCATAGATGAGCTTAGCGCCCATTCCTAGTGGCAGACTCGTGATCTTGTTGCGCGCCTAGCCGTTCGCAATCACCTCTCGTTAGCTGAGCTCACGCATTTTGGCGAGCACAAGACCGCTAAGGCCCTTTACGACGCTGTAGTGGCTCGATACTCCTCCCCTGCCACAGCTGAGCTTAGCCGCCTCATGTTGCCCTACCTGTTTCCTGAGCTGTCCACCTTTGCCACAATCGCCGATCTCATTACCCACCTTCGCACTAGTGACACCCACCTTCGCGCCGCCCTCCCCAAAGATTTATGTGCTAAGCACCCGCCTCTGATGTACTTGACCCTCCACTTCATAGTCACCCGTCTCCCTGATTCTCTTAGCTCGGTCAGGGACCACTTTCTCGCTCGTTGTCCCACCGAACTCACTATCGACCTCCTAGAGCAGCACCTCCTTGCAGCAGAGAAGAGCATTGTCGCTGTAGCTGCTGCTCGTGGCGCTCCTCGCACCCCCATCTTTGAGGGGTGCTCTCCTTCTCCCCTCGCCCCCTCCTTCGCTACCACTGCTGCTGTTGACTTCCTTGGTGTTGAGTAAGCTGGTGCTGCTTCTGCTCCTAGTGGGAGGCGTCGTAACGGCAAGGGCAAGGGAGCCAAGGGTAGCGGAGGTGGCACCGGGGGTGGTGGTGGTGGAGACGGTGGAGGAGGAGGAGGTGGAGGAGGGAGTGGTGGCGGGAGTGCTGGCGGGAGTGGTAGCGTCGGTAGCGATGGTGGAGGCGGTGACGGCGGAGGAGGTGGCAGCGGCGGTGGCGGCGGCGGTGGCAGCGGCGGTGGCGGCCGGGGCGGTGGTGGCGGTATATGTGGCGGTCGGGGTGGAGGCACGGCCGCTGGCCAGAGACAGCAGCAACAGCAGAGTCCCCAGACGACCCAGCAGCTTCGTGGGTGGCTTGCTCAGCGTGGGAGGTCTGGGGGTGGTGGTCACTGCTCGTATGTCATTCGTACAGGTCACCGCAAGGGTTAGACATGCGAAAGTTCCACACCCATCACCGCTGCTTCTCCCGCCTTGACGACGCCTAGCATGAAGAGATGGGCAAGGACGCTGAGCGCCCTCGCTGGTATGAGCTGCTTAGGGCTGGTGTACACATCTTTGCTCTTGGCTATGATGCTATTATTTCTGCCATGTATGCATTGGAGATTAGTGCTAATGGTGACTATTACTTGTGTGTGCCGCCTGACTCCGGTATAGAGACTGGTACTCTAGGTGCTGGTGAGGCTGCTGCCTTAGGTGCGAGCGAGTTTGCTCTCTCAGGTACTGCGCCTGCTGAGGCCTTGCACACCTTCACGCTTCACTCAGGTGCTTCCCGCTGCTTCTTTTGTGACAGTACCGCACACACACCACTCCATGCACCTGTTGCAGTCTTTCTGGCTGACCCCTCAGGGGGCCCAGTTCTTGCACGGTCCACCACTGTGCTCCCGTGCCCGGCGGTTCCGTCTGGCTCCCAGTCAGCTCTCCACCTCCCCTCGTTCTCTTCAAACTTGGTGAACACTGCTTTCCTCTAGGATGCGGGGGTTGACACCTTCACCCCTGGTCGGCAGCGTGTGGCGACCTGTACGTGCTCCCATACCGGCCGCCACCTCACCATGTTTACCCGTCGGCCAGGGTCGAGTCTTAACGACTGCGCCTCCTCAGGTAGTTGCTACTGGTTAGGTGTCAGCGTCAGGTCAGGTAGCCTCCCCTTGTGAGTGTCGCTCCCTGTCGCACCAGAATTTTCTCTGGCACCACCGCCTGGGTCACCCCTCCTTGCTATGTCTCCGTGGCATGCACCATCGCCTCCTAGTGTCTCGTCTTCCCAGGTATCTCCCTCCCCTCCCTGCCTCGCCTGCGCCGCTCTGCCCTTCTTGCGTCGAGGGGCGGCAGCGCGCCGCTCCTTGTAAGAATGTGATGTTTGTGTAGCCTGCAGTGGGGTACTCTATAGCGAGTACAGCCTGAATCAGGGTTTGCTATATGTACTCAACTGCATGCTAGTGAAAACCCTTATTTCCTGTTTCTCGATTTTGCCTAGCATTTAAACATGCTATCAGAGAGTTAGAATAGTGGCTAGAACGAGGGGTCATAGCTAGGTAAAACCTAGCTAGGCAAGAGAAAATAGGCAAAGAATGGGTTGCACTAGCAAGCAGGTGGATACAAATAGGAAACCCTAAGGGGCTGTACTCACTATAGAGTACCCCACTGCAGGCTAGACAAGCATTATATTCTGACACACCCGTATAGTCAAAGTGGGGTATAATCAGTACAGCAAGCAGGCATAGAGCAATAGTTCACAATGAGAAGCAAGGCTAGAGGCTATTACAGAGGGCAAGTGAGGAGGAGGAGAGACTGTGGAGGAGAGAAGATGGGAGGCGATTGCTGAAGATGCAGACACACAGGAGCTACTGGCTCAGTGGCTACCGAAGCAAAGGCCCGGACTACAGGAGTAACTGGCTCCGCGGAGATTGTAGCCTCCAGACCGGAGCAACTGACCCACAGGCGACTGGCGACTACCGGAGATTGTAGCCTCCGGACTACTAGTGCTGCTGGCGACACGACGGCTGCCTCCACTCAACCTCCCCCAGCTGCCCCACGCACCTCTCACACACCCCCTGCTGAAACCCTAGCTCCACTCCCATGGCACCCCCCTTAAACCCTAAACCCTAGGCTCCCACACACCCACCCCCCTCAGCGACAGCTGCAACAGTGGGAGACGAGGGAGGAGGAGGAGCAAGGGGAGGAACTCACAACCGCCACCCCCACACCCGCCACCCCCAAACCCTAACGCAGGTAGGAGCGCGGGAAGCAGTAGGGGCAGGTCACATAAGGAAAAGGGAGGCAGCGGGTGGTCTCCAGGGCGCCACGAAAAAGCAGGGCGCGGGCCCCCCGAGGGCGCCACGGCGGGTGACGGGAGGGGGTCCGCGCACGGGCCCACGAGGGCGGCTCGACGGGCGACGGAAGGGGCCGCGCGCGGGCCCCCAAGGCGCCGCGACGAGGCGACGGCTGGGGCCGGCGCGCGGGCCCCCAGGGCGCCGCGGCGAGGCGATGGGAGGGGCTGCGTGCGGGGCCCCAAGGCGCCGCGACGAGGCGACGGTTGGGGCCGGCGCGCGGGCCCCCAGGGCGCCGCGACGAGGCGACGGGAGGGGTCGGCACGCGGGCCCCCAAGGCACCGCGACAAGGCGACGGGAGGGGCCGGCGCGCGGGCCCCCAAAGTGCCGCGACGAGGCGAGGGAAGGGGCCTGCGCGCAGGCCCCCAAGGTGTCAAACTTATATGATCTAGCCTGTGTAGGTTGTAGCGGGTAAGACACTAAGGGGTACAGAATTCTAGGGTTTCATATTTGTATCACTTTCATTCCTTAGTCAATCCATTCTCGTTCTAAGTTTCTCATGGTATCGAACAGGTTCCCTAGTGGGAACTTTCCTAGGGCCCACCAAGATCGAGGCCCGTCGCGCCGCCCTTAGCGGCCCCGTCGTGCCCTCCTTAGCGGCCTGTCGCGCCGCCCTTAGCGGCCCCGTCGCGCCCTCCTTAGCGGCCCGTTGCGCCCTCCTTAGCGGCCGGTCGCGCCGCTCGTAGCGGCCCGTCGCGCCCTCCTTAGCGGCCCCGTCGCGCCCTCCTTAGCGGCCCGTCGCGCCGCCCCTAGCGGCCCCGTTGCCGCCTCTGCCGGCCTCGTTGCCGCCCTTGACGGCCCCGTCGCCGCCCCTTCCGGCCCCGTCGCCGTCCTTCCGCGGCCCCGTCGCCGCCTCCCCCCTTTCAGCGGCCCCGTCGCCGCCCTTTCAGCGGCCCCGTTGCCGCTCTTTCAGCGGCCCCGTCGCCGCCTCTTAGCGGCCTCGTCGCCGCCCTTCAGCGGCCACGTCGCCGCCCTTCTGCGGCCCCGTCGCCGCCCTTTCAGCGGCACCGTCGCCGCCCTTTCAGCGGCCCCGTCGCCGCCCTTTCAGCGGCCCCGTCGCCGCCTCTTAGCGGCTTCGTTGCCGCCCTTCAGCGGCCCCGTTGCCGCCCTTCAGCGGCCCCGTCGCCGCCCCTTTCCGCGGCCCCGTCGCCGCCCCTTTCCACGGCCCCGTCGCTGTCAAACATTATATATGTTGTTGTAGTTATTTAGGCTACAGTGGGTTAGCCTATAGGGGGTACACATTTCTAGGGTTTCATACTTGTACTCATTTTCACTGTTAGTTCATTCATTCTTGTTCAACATGGTATAGAGCAGGTCCTTCCTAGGACCGATTTTTTTTAGGGCCCACCACTACCTACCTACCTACCTACCTACGCCCTAGGGCGCTTCGGCTTTCACACCCCTAGAGGCCCCGTCGGCCCCGCGCTCTCGCACCTAGAGGCCGCGATCGGCCCCGCGCTCGCTTTTAGAGGCCCCGAATCGGCCCCGCGCTTACCCCTAGAGGCCCGCGTCGGCCCCGCGCTCGTCCTTAACGGCCCCGATTGGCCCCGCGTTTGCCCTTAGCGGCCCACGTCGGCCCCGCGCTCGCCCTTAGAGGCCCTGAACGGCCCCGCGCTCACCCTTTACGGCCCCGAATCGGCCCCACGCTCGTCCCTAAGGCCCCGGGTGGCCCCGCGTTTGCCCTTCAGGCCCCGCGCTCGTCCCTTACGGCCCCGATCGGCCCCGCGCTCGTCCCTCACGGCCCCGATAGGCGCCCACGTCGGCCCCGCGCTCGTCCCTAACGGCCCCACCCGCTCCCCGCGCTCGCCCTTAGCGGTCCCGAACGGCCCCACCCAGAACGAGCCGCCCGAACCGAGCAGCCCGAACCGAGCCGACCCGAGCCGTCCAGCCCTAACGGAACCGAGCCGCCCGACCCGAGCCGCCCAGCCCTAACCGAGCCGAGCCGCCCGACCCGAGCCGCCCAGCCCTAACCGAGCCGCGCCGCCCGACCCGAGCCGCGCCGCCCTACCTATACCGAGCCGCGCCGCCCTACCTGTACCGAGCCGCGCCGCCTTACCTCTACCGAGCCGCGCCGCCCTACCTGTACCGAGCCGCGCCGCCCTACCTACCCTTTGACTGCTCCTACTGCTTTTCCTACTGCTGCTACCATGGCTAGCCCTCCCGTGCTAGCCTTCGATGCTGAGGGCCGCCTAGTGAAGTTCGACACCTGGCTTGATGACCTACACCTCTTCCTACAGCTCACTGCCAAGGAAGACATCTCACTGTACGATCACGCCTTAGGCCACGCTACTGCTCCTGCTGCTACTGCTGACAGCAGTGCCCGCTCACAGTGGCAGACTCGTGACGCCCATGCTCGCTTCGCTATTCGCAACTCTCTGCCGATAGATGAGCGCGAGCACTTTGGGCAGCACAAGACTGCGCAGGCACTGTACACTGCTGTCGTTGCCCGCTACTCCTCACCGGCCTCTGCCGCTCTAGGCCGTCTCTCTCTTCCCTACCTGTTCCCTGACTTAGCTTCCTTCCACACTGTCGCTGATCTCATTACCCACCTCCGCACTAGTGAGGCTCGCTTCCGCGCCGCTATGCCTGATGAGTTCCTTGCCAAGAACCCACCCCCGCTCTGGCTCACTCTCTACCACCTACTCACCCGCCTCCCTGACACTCTACGCTCAGTCAGGGACCACTTCCTAGCTCGCTGCCCCACCGAGCTCACCATTGCCCTCCTCGAGAAGGAACTCCTTGCAGCTGAGGCTAGCATAGTCGCTGTAGGTGCCTCTCGCGGTGACCCCCGTACCCCGTTCTTTGAGGGGTGTTCTCCCTCCCCCCTTCTTCCCTTTGTCGCCTCTGCTGCTGCTGTCGACCTCCTTGGTGCTGAGAAGGTCGGGACTGCGTCTGCTTTGAGCGGGCGCCGCAGCGGCAAGGGCAAGAGGGGCAAGGGCGGTGGTGGTGACAGCGGGGGTGGCGGTGGTGGGGGAGGTGGTGGTGGCGGGGGGGGGGTGGCGCGGGTGGGGGAGGTGGCAGCAGTGGGGGGGGTGGCGGCAGCGGCGGGGGAGGTGGCCGGGGCGGAGGAGGTGGTGGGGGTGGCAGTGGACGAGGCAGCGGCCGGGGTTGGGGTGGTCGAGGAGGTGGTAGCGGCGGTGGTGGTCGTGGAGGCACTGGCGGTGGCCAGGGCCAGCAGCACACTCCATCGCCCCAGGAGGTCCGTGAGTGGTACTCTCAGCACGGGGGGGGGGGGGGGGGGGGTGGCCTTAGCTGCACGTACGTCATTCGCACTGGTGATCGCACTGGCCAGCCGTGTGGGGGACCGCACGCCACACAGCATTGCTTCGCTCGTCTGAACGACGCTTGGCGTGTTCAGTTCCCTCAGGCCACTGAGCTGCCCCGCTGGGTTGATCTCCTGAAGAAGGGGATTGATATCTATGCTCTAGACTTTGATGCTATTCTCACTGCCATGTATGTGATGTTTACTAGTGGAGAGGGTGCTGAGTACCTGAGTGTCCCGCCCGACCCGGGCATTAGGACTAGTGCGTCTGCTGCTCCAGGTACTCGCGTGTCTGCTACCCCAGGTGCTGGTGAGGCTGCTGCTCTAGGTGCTTGTACGTCTGCCCCCCCTAGTACTGTGTCGACTGCAGCACTGCACACCT